GTAACAGCGGCAGGCCGGTAAAAATAAAATTCTGACATTCCACAGGGCACACTCGCTTGGCGGACAAAAGCCACCGGGGGCTCTCTTTGCGTGTTCCTTCACCTGGTCAAACCGCTTTGAGGGGGGACCTTTCGAGTAGTTTTCGGCGTCAGAACGGGCTCTTCTAGCGACGGGTGGGCAGGCCTTCCACAGGCGCGCGCGGCTCTACTGGAGCAAAAGAGGCTTGGCAAAGGACGAGGAAGAGAGGGAAGCGCCGCTCCAGCGAGAGGGTGCTCGCTGCAGAGCCATTTGAGGAGAGCTGAGCTCCAGCGAGGGGGAGCATGAGCTGTCGCTCCTCCTCCTGTAAGCTGTTTTAATGCGTACACCAACCCCACCCCTAACCCTACCCCCAGTGACATCACTCGTAGAAGAAGTGCAAAGAAGGTGGAGCTCAAGCTTAAGCTCCCCCTCGCTGGAGCTCAGCTCGCCCAAATGGCTCTGCAGCGAGCACCACTTGAAAATACGGGAGAAATACGGGAAAGTTCCTTTACGGGATGATGGTGGGATAGAACAGTAAAATATGGGAGAATCCTCAGGAAAAACGGGAGGGTTGACAGGTATGACCTTATCTCGCATGTCTTTGGACGGTGAGAGGAAACCGGGGAACCCGGGGGAAACCCACATGAGCATAGGATGAACACGTAAACTTTAAACAGAAACGTTGTCTGACCAGGTAAGGACTTGAACCAGTGACGTTTTTGCTGTTAGGCAACAGTGCTAACCACTGGGCCACCGTGCCGCCTTATCTAAAAGAGGAGGAGGATGGGGTGGAAGGGAAGATTTAAGATGAAGATCACTGAGGTATGAAACTTTGGTCATTTATAGCGACTTAGGAATGGTGTGATTGGTGAATCATGCGTTAGCTAATGCGGGACCAGCCGTGGTGAATCATAAGCACGCGATCCTCTCGAAATTAGTTTATAAATAAACTTCACTTAGCGAACATTTGCACTTATTAGGATGTTCAGGTGGATTTCCGGGACATTTCCTTTTGGAAAGTTGGGAATGCATGTTTTATGAGTACTCAGATTATTCTGGATGTTTACTAATATGGTGTTGCTATGCTGTTTAAGGTGTTGTGAGTAGTTGTGTAGGGTGCTCTAGGTCAGGGGTGGCCAACCCTGTTCCTGGAGAGCCACCTTCCTGCAGATTTCAGTTGCAGCCCGTATCAAACACACCTGCCTGTAATTATCACGTGGTGTCCTAATTAATTGGTTCATCAAACATCTGTTTGATGTTGTGTGCTGGAGGAAAAGCTGATTGGGGGAAAGCTGGAACAGGGAGAGTGATGAAAGGTCAGGGCATTTGTAAGGTCATGAGGTCTTGACCCTGCTGTGCGTTTGTAAGTGAGAGGGTTATAAATTAATATGTTGAATAGGCTGCATAAAGTCTGTGAACGCTTTGCATATTTATTATTATTATTATTTATTATTATTATTATTATTATTACTATTTATTATTTTATTTTTATTATTATTATTATTATTATTATTTTATTATTATTATTATTTATTATTATTATTATTATTTATTATTATTATTATTATTATTTAATTTAAAATTTAGGACACTGATTTTAAATGATGAAGAAATTGAAGAGATTTCATTTCATTATATTTTATTATTTACGATTAAAGTCCCCATTAGTATCAGTATGTATGGAATCAAATGAATTAATATCAAAGTAAAACAGCACATCGGTAATAAGGGAATATCTTGGTTTCAAAGTCACAGACAAGTTTATCAACTTTTTCTTCGTCATTTTAGTTAACCTATTCACCATCTTTGTTATCCTTTTCACCATCCTCTTCTTCATCTTGGTTGATTTCTTCTTTATTTTGGCCTTCTTCTTTGTCATCCTCTTCCTTGATCTTTTCACCATCCTCTTCTTTCTCTTAGTTTATCCATCTGTCAACGTTTTCTTCATCTTTGTCTAACCCTTTTTCATCTTAGTTTTCATTTTTCTCATCTTGGTCTTTAGCTTCGTTGTCATCTTCTCATCTTCCTCATCCTCTCTTTCATTTTAGTCTCCTTTGTGAATTTCTTCATCTTTCTCATCCTCTCCGTCAACTTGGTCTTCTGTCTTCCACCATATATGTATATATATTTTTTTTTTCGACCACAGGACTGGATATCTATAAAGATTTTTGCACAGAATATATATTCAGATATTGTAGGAAAGGACATCGTGATGTTTTAAAGAATTGTGTTGGAGCTTTAACTACCTTTTAATGTTCTCATATTTATAAAAACATTTGAAGATCTTAAGCAACTTTACTTGAAAGAGACGTGATGGTGTCATTAGAAACTGAATTGGAAATGACCTTATTTTAATATAGTCAGTCGTGAACTGAGGTGTGCCGGTCTGAGGCTTGAAACTCCAGGGCTGAAAAGGAGTCCCACTCCGGCCCCGGTTTAAAATGTGATATTCTAGTGGACAAACCCTTTAAAGCCATTCTTAAGCTTATTTTTACATTTCACCTGCCGTACAACAATGTGAGATTGCAGATTCTGTGTGGACCCATTCATAACACATTTGTATGCCTTTTTCGTGTGTTTTCCAGAGCGAGAGTGCTGCTGTGAGGGAGAGGGAATTATCCCTGCAGTTGGCCAGGATCAGGGATGAAGTGGGTAAGTCTGAAAAAAAAAAAAATCTCATCACACACTTGTGCTGCGTCAAACTCACAAATGAGATCAACCATCCAGTATCATATCCTACAAATATGGCTAAATTATATGCTTCATGTTCAGTGAACATCTGTTTGACTGCTTGTTAACTGAAGGTTTCAATCTGCCAATCACATGAGAGCTACTCAGTGCATTTAAACTGGATGCGGTCCAGATGATCTGCCGAAGTTCAAACTGAGCAATAGAATCAGTTACAAATATGATTTAAGGGTTTTTGAATGTAGTTGGATCTTAGTGCCAGACAATGGTTTGAGTATTTTAGAGATTCCTGATGTACTGGAATTTTCTTACAAAACCATCTTTAGGGTTTATGGGGAATAGAAGTGAATGAAAAGCAGAGTGATTAAGCCAATTATGATATGGGGATGGTTAGAAGGCCATGATGGACAGAGGACAGTAGTCAAATTTGGCCAGGATGCCGGGGTTAAACCCCTAATCTTTTTCAAAGGGCATTCTGGAATTTTTCACCACCACAGAGAGTCAGGACCTTGGTTTAACGCAGGGGTCACCAAACTTGTTCCTGGAGGGCCGACGTCCTGGAGATATTAGCTCCAACCCTAATCAAACACACCTGAACAAGCTAATCAAGGTCTTACTTGGTGTACTTTAAACATCCAGGCAGGTGTGTTGAGGCAAGTTGAAGCTAAACCCTGCAGGGACACCAGCCCTCCAGGACCGAGATTGGTGACCCCTGGTTTAACTGAGCAGAATAAAGTCCCCATGGATATACTGGGGCATTAGGATTCACACAGACCGCAGGTTGGGAGCCCCCTGTTGGCCTCACTAAAACCACTTCCCGCAGCAACCTAGCTTTCCCATGTGGTCTCCCATCCAGGTACTTACCAGGCGCAGCCCTGCTTAGCGTCAGTGGGCGACCATGTGAGAGTTGCAGAGAGCTAGTTGCCTTTCACAACTGAGGTCTGCAGAAGACCTTGAACACATCAAACCTTGAAGCAGAAGAGCTACAGCATCAGAAGTAGACCACACCTGTGACACTACTGTCAGCTAAACACAGTGTACAGTGTATAATATAACAGTGCACATTGGTTCAGCAAAACTGAACAACAGAAGAATGGAAAAAGGTTGCCAGCTCTGGTGAATGTCCGTTTCTGCTGCAACATTTTGATGGTCGAGTGAACAGGGGAAGAAGATCACAACACTCAAATGGGCTCCACAGTCACACATTCCACACCCTTATATTGTGCTGAAATGGGAGATTCATTCCTTCATTCATTTTCTTGTCGGCTTAGTCCCTTTATTAATCAGGGGTCACCACAGCGGAATGAACCGCCAACTTATTCAGCATATGTTTTATGTAGAGGATGCCTTTTCGGCTGCAACCCAACGTCGGGAAACACCCATACACTCTTGCATTCACACACATACACTACAGCTAATTAAGCTTACACAATTCGCCTATAACGCATGTGTTTGGACTTTGGGGGAAACCAGAGCACCCAGTGGAAACTAGAGGTCTGCATTCCCACGGCCCAGATTTCTTGCGGCACAGGATTAAATTTCCGAATAAAGCGCGTGAATAAAGCGTGATGCTGTGTAGCTTGTTTGTTGCTGTCTATGTGTGTGTGTGTGTGTGTGAATGAGAGAGAGTGTGATGCTGTGTGTCTCTTGCTTGGTGCTGTTTGTCTATGGCCCTGTTTACACTAGTGCGTTTTAGTTTGAAAACGCATAAGTTTTGCTACGGTTACGCCATCCGTCCACACTACGCCGGAGTTCTCGAGCGCCGAAAACGGAGCGTTTCTAAAACGCCGGAGAGGCCGTTTTCATTCTGAAACGCTGCTGCTCCGTCTCAGTGTGGATGATGGAAAACGGAGACATCTGAAAACGGAGGCGGGGCTGCCGGCGTTTGCCTATCTGATTGGGGCTTTTCCTCAATATTAAGTAGCCCACACACAGTTCAGTCTCGCATCCTCTTCTTGTAAGTTCAGACTTCGCAAGTTTGATCAAGGCTGCAGTCTCTTCTTCTCAGTTTGATATGGAAAACATACCGAGGACACGGGTAAATCTTCAAAGGGAACAGTGTACTTTATAACTTCATTCACATCACCTTGGCTACGTTGTTTCACTTTCTCAACAATAAAATGTAAACATGATTTAAGGAACTGCCTATTTTCATTTTAATATTAGCAACTTGACAGACAGCAGAAATTTTGAGGCGCCGTGCTGCATATATGAGCGTCATCTTCACTGTGTGGATATTTATAACAAAACGGAGCCGATAACTACTGCCTCCTTTCAATTTCAGTGAAAATACGAAACGCACCCTCTCTTTTGCTGAATATCAGTTTTAATAATCGATAATTATAAAAGTATAACATACAATAAGTTTATACATTGTAGGAAATAAAGGCAAGCGATCAGTCAATGTACCTGGATTAATCATTAACTTATCTTTGCGCTTAACCAAAAACATGTTACCCGTGAACAAGTAACTTAATAGATTACAATGATCAAAGTCAGGGAATTGGCCTATGTCGTTAGATAAAGACAACAACATGAATGAAATATCACGTTTAGCAAATATAGTGAGATTAGATCCAGCGAGAGATGCTTGATGAGCAGTCCGACAAGCAGAGCTCTCATCTGGGTAGAAATGCTGGATCGCTTGCCCGTGAGTGTGTGTGTGGTCACGTGATGTGCGTTTTCAGCGTTTTGGTGTGGACGGAGAGCAGTTCAGAAACGCTGGGTAAAACGCAAGTGTGGACGCGGATCGTTTTCATTCTACAACGCCATTTTAAAACTAAAACGCACTAGTGTAAACCGGGCCTATGTTTGTGTGTGTTTATACAGACAGCTTGTTAAAAGGCTGTCTGGACTTATGTAGCTGGGTGTTTTTTTTTTTTTTTTGTGGTTTTGTTCTCTAGTGGAAACCCACGCGAACACGGGGAGAACATGCAAACTTCACACAGAAATTGACCCAACTGACCTAGCTGTGGTTTGAACCAGTAACCTTCCTTCCAAGAAGTTCATTGTATCTATGTATCTTGAAGAAGGTATAAAGAGGTCAAAGATAGGTCAAACTAGAAAGGTGAACTTTATAGAATAAAGTTTACAAGTTAATATGTTCTTTTGTTTAGGAAAATAACCACCAAAATAAAAAGTTGTTAGCATAAATAGCAGTCACCTATGCCTCATTTCCACAGTACATTTTAGTACAGGGTGACGTAGTGGCACAGTAGGTAGTGCTGTCGCCTCACAGCAAGAAGGTTGCTGGTTCGAACCTCGGCTCAGATGGCGTTTCTGTGAGGAGTTTGCATATTCTCCATGGGTTTCCTCTGGGTGCTCTGGTTTCTCCCACAGTCCAAACACATGCGGTACAGGTGAATTGGGTAGGCTAAATTGTCCATAGTGTATGAGTGTGTGTGGATGTTTCCCAGAGATGGGTTGCGGCTGGAAGGGCATCCGCTGAGTAAAAACCTGCTGGATAAGTTTGTGGTTCATTCCGCTGTGGCGACCCTGGATTAATAAAGGGACTAAGCCGACAAGAAAATGAATGAATTTTAGTACAGTACAGTACAATTCGGTACAAGTCACCCTGATCAGGCTTGCATTTCCATTACCAATAGTACCCTTTAAACAGGGAGTCAGTGTTGTGCTAGGTGCTAAAGGGTACCACAAAAGTCATATGGTACTTCTGACAATGTAATTGAACTGTACCGCTTAGTGGAAATAAGTTATTAGTCTGAGAATTTTGACACCACATGATGCTTTTGTACTCTAGGTATTGATTATTGAAAGTTAAGCATGTCCTTTCACCTTCTCCATCTCTGTAGTGGTCAGTGTTCAGCGGTGGGAGTGTCTGCAGGGTGAGAAGGCCCAACTGGAGCAGAGTTTCGAGCGGAAGCTGAAAGAACTCCAAGAGGAGCAACAGCGGCAGCTCAAGGCCTTACAGGAGAGACTGGTGGAGGAGCACAGCTCTGAGAAACAGAGACTCCAGCAGCAGCAGAACAGTCACCTGGTGCAGCTGCGATCCCAGCACCAGGAGCAGGTGAGATGAGAAAATAGCAAAGTGTGAAGACTGAGATCATCACTGACCCAGGGTTTTCAAGAGTTCACACTTAGCTCATGATTCATACATAGCTTGTTTGGCATGCTGTCCCGGGAGAGAGCCCTGAGCTCAAGGGATCCTCGAGCCCAGGGCTCCCCCCCCTTTTGCAGGGCGAGTGGAGATTGAGCTCAGGTCTATCTCAAACTCCCCCGCTGCTGAGGCCAAGGCGAACTTCCTGAGAGTAAGACATTATAAAAAAGGTTTAGGCTTGTTTTATCTATATTATAGAGCACATTTGGATGGTGGGAGGAAACCGGGGAACCCGGGGGAAACCCACGCGGACACGGGGAGAACATGCAAACTCCACACAGAAATACCAGATGGCTCAGCGAGGACCCAACACCATTGGTATTCTTGCTGTGAGGCAACAGTGCTAGTCACTGGGCCACCGTGCCGCCCATTCTGGATAAAGGAGGAAGAAGGGGAGGAGGGGGGTTTCTTCCAGACGAAGATAGTTGTAGAAAGGAAATGAGGATATATATAGTGATTTGGGATCCTTTGATTGGAGGATCATAATTAGTTAATGTGGACCAGCTGGGTAAATCATGAGCACATGCTCCTCTCGAAATTAGTTTAAAACTAAACTTCACTTATTTTAAAAGTACATTGGAGTGTTGGGTGTGAAGCGAGGGTTGAGAAATCCTGGAAGGGGAAAATGTGTTTATAGACTGAAAAGAAACCCAAAGTATATTGCAATTTTGACATGGGTTCATAGGTGCCCTTTCCTTTCAATTGTTTCTCCCATGCCACACTATTAGTTACAGCAATCAAAGCTAAGGTTGATAATAATTTAAGGCTGATGATAATTTAACATGAATCAGATGTGTTTTCCAAGACATTTTTAATCCAATACAGCAAAGGTCACCAATCTCTGTCCTGGAGGGCCGGTGTCCCTGCAGGGTTTAGCTCCAACTTGCCTCAACACACCTGCCTGGATGTTTCAAGTACACCTAGTAAGACCTTGATTAGCTTGTTCAGGTGTGTTTGATTAAGGTTGGAGCTAAAATCTCCAGGACACCGGCCCTCCATGAGCAAGTTGGGTAAGCCCTGCCATACAGCCTTGATTTACTGTATTTAGATCTCTCACTTGTAAGGGTAAAACCTTCAATGGGAATCACAGCATAGGGATAAATCCTTCAGAATGGAACCCAGCCAATGTGTACTTTAACTAGCAGTGTGCATAAAGACAGGCACTCAAGACACGAGCACTTAAAAGATTCACTCTTCTTAAGAGTCTTTGCCACTTCTTTATAGAAGTTATAAATATGTCTACAGGTATGGGCAACTCGTAAATCCTTTAGACAAGCGGCCGTAAACTTGGACAACTTGTTGTCTTCAGTAGTTTTTTTGTTGTTTCAAGTGTTTTTCCACCTGCAATACGAGGAATCAAGGAAATTCAAGGGAAAAAAAATCAAGGAATTTCAATGGTCATCATTGAGATGAAGAGTTATAGGGTTTCATTGGCTAAGAAATGTAGCTATTTATGCTTAACTTTGACAAAGTTGCAGAGCTGGCCAAAAGCAAGCATTTTAGTTCACCTGTGATCTTTCTATGGTTTGAGATTTGTAACTTAGCATAAAAGCTAATCTCTAGATCACTAAGAATCTCACTAGTCTATAGCACCAGACTAACCATTCAAAAGGTTCTCACAAAGACCAGGGGCCTCATGTATCAACGCTGCGTACGCACAAAAACTTTGCATACGCCAGGTTTCGAGCTCAGAATCGCTCACGTTTGGATTTACTAACGATGAACTGAACGTGGGAATGTGCGCAGCTTCACGGCAGCTTCATGGCTGGCGTACGCACATTTTTTGTGCGTGTCTGTTTTATTTCCATTGGCGACTCCTAGAGGCAGTTGTGTTAAATTGCACTCTACAAAGTGTCTTCTCAGCTTGTAGGAGATGGTTTTATATGCATGTCTAGTATATAAGGTTTCCATACCATTCAGTTGACCATCCAAACATTAAAGCGCAATTTGCATCGGTCGCCTGTTTTCCCAATGTAATCGCAGCTATCTACTGCACACACATTTCTATAAAGGCACCATGATCTGAGGATGAACTGGCATACGTGAATCAGAAACATTTCCATTCAATAAATGTGCAAATTAAATTTGATGCACAGACTTATTAAAGATTCCTACTTGTCTTTCTAATGATAAAGCGTATAGTTAAAATCTGATATGTAGCGGGGAAAAAAAAAAGTTCTTCCGCTGCTGGATTTGAATCGAGTTCATGCTTGACTGTATCGAAATATGTTGCCCTGGGTTTAGCGAGCTGCGCCACTTAAGCTGATAAAAATACTATCAAATTTTACACCTATAGATCTCACGATTTTTTTTTAATCCACTCAGTGCGATGTTCAGACCCAACTGTGTTTACCGCATCAGCTAATCTCTCCCCACTATATATATATATAAAAAACTCTCCCCACTCTATATTTTTCTTTTGTTATTAATTCCAGAGGACAAACTTGCAAACAACACAGTTTTTCTCTGGTCTACCTCCGAAAGCAGCACCTCCAATTCACTTGCTGATCAAAGTTTCTCTTTTTGCTTGATTTTGCCGTTGCTTTTTCGTTGGGTTTTGCCAAAGTATAGTCATTTGCATATTCATACGGGGGCGGAGGCAGGGCTGGTTGCGCTCAGTTTCACGTTCATTCAGATGTACAAACAGAATATGTGTGAGATTCGGCATACGCAGTGTTTCATGCATCTGCATTTTTTTCTGCGTACGCACATTTACAGCTTTGTACGTACGCAATGTTTTAGTATTATTTCCACGCAAGTCTTCGTACATGAGGCCCCAGTTGACCAGTCAGAATCCATTATTCCAGAGTCTCTTTTGATTTCTGATTTTTGGTATTAGATCGAGAAGATGAGTGAAAACCATGAGACGGCTATGATTGAGATGGAAGCAACTCATAGTGCCACGCTGGCCACTTTACAAGAGGAACACACCAGAACCATCAAGAGTGAGTCCTGCTGCCTGACACAACCATCACACTGCTGGAAATCTGATCTATTATGCCTAAAAATCTAGTGAACTGTCTACTTACCTTTATGTAGGCATCATGCAGTTGGCTGGAAGGTCTAAAATTACAAATAGGTTTTGCTCACTAATGCCACTTTTCCACCAAGGCCTGTGTTTTATTTGGAGCTAGTGCTTTGTCAGAGGGATTGGCTCAAACTTCCACTGACATTCTCTGCTTACTGAGATAGGTTACCTTGTTCAAGAAGAGTAAAATCTTGCTTGTCTTTAAAAAGCAAACCAGTAGTTGGACAATGGTGTTCGCTCAATGTCAGTGGAAATGTAAGCCTGTTCTTAGTGAGTACCACCCTCTGCAAGAGCAGCAGCAATTTAGAATCAAACTTGGGCTTTTTTTTTTAGTTGGAACATTCAGTATTGTTGCAGATCCAGCAATGTTTATAACAGTAGCAGTAGCAGTAGTAAAATATTTACAGACTGCACTTTCTTACTCAGTTAATTATTCCTGGGCCAGGGTGCAGATGTTTGTTGAGGACTGGGCTTGAAATTCTACTGGCCTTGCAGAATGGGAAAATCTGAGCCCGTTAGGGGGAGATTAGATCACTTTTGAATGGAAAGCTAAGCCTGGTTCCACATTTTGTCTCCCAACACCAGCCTCATTGGAAAAGTGGTAGAGGCCTCTAGTGAAAATATATGCTACTGCAGACAGTTGAATATAAACTGTTTAATATCTTTTTTCATCTGACTACATGCACTGGTTGGTTGTTTTTAGACTTGAAGATGGCACATGAGCAGCAAAAGAAGTCAATGGACGAGGAGTTTGAGAAGCTCAGACTCTCACTGCAGGTACTGGAACATGTCATCCTTTTGAATTGAAACACATTCTTCTCTTTTTATGATGGCATATGTTAGGTCAATTTATACTTCTGCATCGAGTGCACTCGGTAGCTCCAGAATAGCCTTCGCGCAGTTGTATAGCCTTTGCCATACCCTAACATGGACCTACGAGTGCAAGATCTGAGATTGGTTGGAGTGGAAGCATTGATGAGTGTGAGATGGATACAGCTACAGACGGATACATTTGCTTTGTTTACTTTGTTCAAAGTCATTGAACTTTTGTTCGCCCATTTCTTACTTGATTTTTTTTTCTTTTGATTTTAAATGATTTTAAGTTTGAGGTACTTCTACTAACACAGGCTTATTCTGAAAACCAAGTGCTATATGCATTTCTGGAGATCATGAATTATGTAGCCAGAAGTACATATGGCTATGTTTCGTCTTAAAAACAAACGCTACATGACGGCAGGACATCCTTCCTTTTCACGCTTACCAACAGGTTGATTACCTCCGTATGAACGGCTTCATGGCTGTTATAAGTTGATCCAGTAGTTGGGTTAGAACGGTCTAGAAAGCAGGTAAAACAAAAACAACACAAAAATAACAAAATATAATAAACAAGTAAATAACAGGGTGAGAATGTGGTAAAATCTGAAAACGTAGTAAAAATCAGGTTGTCGTGAGGGCTTTTCTTGAATTTCTTTAAAAAAAAACATCATTGGATGGGTTTAGGGAAGGAGGAGGGTGGGTCAGTTAGTCAGTCGACAGTGGCCATGGATTTACATTGTATCCAAAAATCTCAAAAATTTAGCAAAAATCCAAAACACCAGCAAAGACATTCGGCACAGAGGAGGATAGAAACCCCACTGGCTACTAGTGTTTCAGAAGTGATATTGCCAGAGCAGCACAAACATGTATAAATGCTCATAACTGCTTTGACTACGTGCAACTTATGCATGCGAGGGATATGGCAATTTGCAGAAATAATTTGCAGAAGGTTTAAGTGTGTGTGTTTCTGTGCTTGCATTTAGGATCAGGTGGACACGCTGACATTTCAGAACCGAACTCTGCGAGACCGGGCCAAACGCTTTGAAGAAGCACTGCGCAGAAGCACAGATGAGCAGATAGTGGTACTTTTCCTGACATTTTGTGTGCCTCCTGACATTAAAAGAAAACTAATCGCTGAAAAATCCTGTGAGATATAAAATCCTGTGAGACATAAAAGAAAGATAATTCTTCATATAGATCTGTAGTAATCTGGATCTGTGTTTTCTGTTTGCGTGTGTGTGTGTGCAGGATGCTCTTGCTCCATATCAGCACATAGAGGAGGATCTGAAGAGTCTTAAAGAGGTTCTGGAGATGAAGAACCAGCAGATTCATCAACAGGAGCTCAAAATTTCAGAGCTGGAAAAAATGGTGAGTTACAAAACGGAGAATGAGAAGATAACTTTAATGTTAAGATTAAAAACTGTTTGAATCTTTATTTTTTGTAATGGAACAATTGGCCCAAAATAGTCATTGTGCTACACAGGTTTTGGTTCAATCAAATGCCCTGTTGAATAAAAATGTTCCTGCCCTGCCAATCCACAAGCAGCCAATCATAGTCAGTTGTGTAACTAAACACAGCCCCTCACATTGACTGTTTCATGGGTTCTACATGTATTTTCAAAACCGCACTTTTTTTTGCACAGTTTTGCTGTTTGTCAACACAAAAATGAAGTGAATCTCCAGGTACAGTGTGGTCATGTAAACACTCATGACATCAGCATGTGCGCTGTATTCTCGTTTTTGATTAGCCAACATGGCGGGGTTCACACCAAACGCGGACATGAATGCCTGTGAATGAGGCAATTTTTGATGCTCACAGCAAATAATATCGCATATTCCACATTGTTTGACCACCGGATGCTAATCTGCTTCTGTTCTCACATTTGCATTACCTTAATTCCCCTTATGAATCAAATAGTAAATATTTTTTTTATTTTGATTAACGTATATTAGGACTTTTATATATTTTTAAATGAACCCCAAAGCATCTTAGAGCAGTGGTCCCCAACCTTTTTATCACCGCGCACCAGTCAACACTTGACAATTTTACCAATTAGGTGGCTCGTAGGTTGCTAGGCGACCATCAAACATCCTCAGAGGATGACAAGCTGACAAAACATTGATGTCACTCTGATACAAGCTTATTTATGGAGAAAATTACGAAGCACTGCAGTGTTGGGTGCTCTGTGTTTGTCTGAGATAATTAGTCTAAAATGTGTGTAAACAAGATGATGCTGATCGGTCAGTTCTTGCTCGCGCAAGCCGCGCACCTCTATTGAAAATAACGAACTTGCACGAACACTAGAAAAGACACGATATGCAAAAGGACCCTAAAAGGCCGCCGTCATTTGCGATCTCCAGCAGTTGCTCTTTTTTTTAACCCGGACATGCTGGATTCACCTGATTTGTTGACAAATGTGTTGCGTATCCATTCTTTGGCAGTTCGCAGGCCCTTCACTGGACCTTTTCCCCTTAGCAAATGTAACCCCGCCAGTCCTACGCCACCCAACCTGGTATCAAACCGGCGACCTTCCACATGGGAGTCGGTTGCTCTACCAAGGAGACTTAAGACCATGGCCTCTAGCATCTGTCGCTAGAGCACCTTTAGAGGTCAGGGGAGTGAGGTTTACCTGCACAGCACTTACTAGCTGGCCTCTGCTACACTCACCCACCCTATCCTCACTCCCATCCGGGTCACGGCACCAATGTAACCCAGCCGGTCCTATGCCACCCAACCTGCTCCGAGCTGGGATTGAACCGGTAACCTTCCACATGGGAGTCGGTTGTTCTAACAAGGAGGCTAAAGACCATGGCCTCTAGCGCCTGTCGCTAGAGCACCTTTAGGGGTCAGAGGAGTGAGGTTTACCTGCACAGCTTTTACTTGCTGGCCTCTGCTAGACAAAAAGACTTTCCAAAGACGTCTGTTTCTTACTCGTTTTGCTGCTTATGGGTTAAATTTGGGCGTAATGAGATGTAAGTGAAAGAATACAGTCATTTTTCAAAATAAAAGACTTTTCTAAATAAAAGGTCGTTCAGTCGTTTAATAAATAAAATGGAAATAATTAATGATTTCTTGTGCGGGCCGGTACCAAGTGATCCACTGACCAGTACCGGTACACGGTAGTTTCCTTACTCTAAGCAGTTCAAGACTTCGCTAGTTTTTGTAAATTTGCCTTCTGAACACACACACACACACACACACAAACTGGAAACACAATTGGACACAATGGCGAGGCAGTGGCGCAGTAGGTAGTGCTGTCGCCTCACAGCAAGAAGGTCACTGGGTTGCTGGTTCGAACCTCGGCTCAGATGGCGTTTCTGTGTGGAGTTTGCATGTTCTCCCTGCCTTCGTGTGGGTTTCCTCCGGGTGCTCCGGTTTCCCCCACAGTCCAAAGACATGCGGTACAGGTGAATTGGGTTGGCTAAATTGTCCATAGTGTATGAGTGTGTGTGTGGATGTTTCCCAGATATGGGTTGCAGCTGGAAGGGCATCCGCCAGCATAAAAACTTGCTGGATAAGTTGGCGGTTCATTCCGCTGTGGCGACCCTGGATTAATAAAGGGACTAAGCCGACAAGAAAATGAATGAATGAATGAATTGGACACAATCAGAAACACTTGGAAACACATTTAAAGCAATAATTTGTCCAATAAAAGTGTTAAATTTGGAAAAGGAAATGGAACAACTATAAAGTAACTGAATGTGTTTGTCATGTTGTATTGCGCAGGCTCAAAAGAATGTTCTATTGGAGGAGCGTATTCAGGTCTTACAACAACAGAACGAAGACCTGAAGGACAGGATTGACCGCAACCTTGCCATGTCCAGGTCTTTATAAAACATTACAGCTACTAGCTTAGGTCCACACCATGACCTCTTAAAATCAATAACTAATAGTTGTTGTCTTAATACCACCAGGCAACTGTCAGAAGAAAATGCCAACCTGCATGTGCACGTTGAGAAAGAGAGCAATGAGAAGAAGCGTCTGAGTCGCACCAATGAAGAGCTTATGTGGCGTCTCCAAACGGGCGAGTTAAGCCCTCGAATGTCTCCCACCCAATCACCCCTCCATCGACCAGCCTCTAGTCCTGCTTCACCCTCCCGACCGCAGTCCTTCCCTAGATGAGTGCCCAATTCTCCACCTCTGTCTTTTTTAAAATCTTTATCACATATTGTTCATCATGTGGATTTTGATTGGACGAACAAGCGGATGATTTATCATTCGCCAATGCTATACCTCATCCTCCGGTTCAGTATTTAGTTGGATGTTGCTTCAATTTAAAATTGGTAGGTTTGATAATGTAATCGAGGTTTGGGTTGGAGCTTGACTGAACAAAATAATCATGAACATACAGCAGGTAAAATAAGTATTGAACACGTCATGATTTTTCCTATCTATCCAAAACACAAACCCTATTTATTTTTATGTTACAGCTCTTGAACCACTCTGCTTTGACAACCGCAAACATTTTTAGAAAAAATTAGCCATCGGGACCACACCTTGAGTCTTTTGGATGCTTAAAATGGTCCACAATATAAAACGCACCTCCTTACCATCTGTGTGTCTCTTTAAAGCAGGGGTATCCAAACTCTGTCCTGGATTGCCAGTGTCCTGCTGTGTATAGCTCCATCCTACTTCAACACACCTGACAGGAAGTTTCTAGGTTATCTAGTAAGAGCTTCATTAGCTGGTTCAGGTGTGTTTGATTAGGGTTGGAGCTAAACTCTCCAGGACACCTCTGCTTTAAACCATTAATGTGGACTTACAGAGTAAATAAGGTCAATTTTCGTTTCATGTAGGCTTTAGGAGAACACTGGGGAACCCAGTTGGAATCAAGCATTTGGAAACTAAAGTCAAACAACCAGGAATAAAGGCTCAGTGGTTAGCACTTTCACCTCAAAGCAAGACGGTAGAGGTTGGCATTTTTGTGTGGAGTTTGCATGTTCTCCCCCTGTTGACGTGGGTTTCCTTCAGGTGCTCCGGTTTTCCCCACATGCGCTATAGGTAAATTGAATAAATTAAATTGTCCATAGTGTATTCGTGTGAATGAGTGTGTATGGGTGTTTCCCAGTACTGGGTTGCTACTAGAAGGGCATTCACCGCATAAAACATATGCTGGAATAGTTGGTGGTGTATTCCGCTGTGGCGACAAGGAAAATGAATGAATGAACCAGGAATAAAATAGTGGGACTCTAGTCTCTAGTTCTGACTAGTTAGTTGATTTCATCCCACTAGAGCAGTGGTTCTCAAACTTTTTTCACCAAGTACCACCTCAGAAAAAAGTGTCTCTCCAAGTATCACCATAATGACCGGTATTGAAAGACATAGACGTAATTAAGCAGCTACAGCTCTGCACAATTCAAAAATACGGCAGATTAATTCCTGTTGTTATGAATATTTATTATTGTCGGCCACTTTAAACATAATAAATAGTCTGAACAATGACACACTTGCATCTAACCTTTGCCTATGGTGTCAAGTTTTTCCAAAGAACATTCAGGGTGATATATACACCAGTTTTACTAGGAATATTTGCCTTTTCTTGAGGGAAAGCCACATACCAGCAAGCTCCTGTGCAAACCCAGGCATTACTCAAACCAGTAAACCCAGCAGGAAAACCCCTCTATAGGCAATTTTACGATGGATGTTTTAGTTAAATACTAGCATGTCCGCTTATAGAAGCGTAAAAATCAACACAAACCTGATTTTACGATGTATTTTTAACGGTGGTCCATTCACATGTTTGACCACTATCAGCAAGGACTGACAACACAAAAATGTCAACGACTTGCAAACTTCAGCCTGCTGTCTTTACCTTCTTCTACTCTCTCATGTTTTGACATCCTCAAGTCTTCATTTCAACTATCCCTGTTTACAGAAATGCTTTAAGCTGTAAGAACTGCCTGTGAACTTGACGCTACAGTATTGGTCATTGCTGTTTATATTCCTCTTTTCTGTACAGTATGTATCATAAGTCTTCCAGTTGCTCAAATTGCTTTCATGTGGACACTAGTGAGGGCACTTGTATAATATTCAGAAAGGTTGACAAACCAATATCACTACTGTACTATTATAATGTCAGACTTTTACGTGAGCAAAATAACACAAGCATAATCACATAGAGAACACAATTGAAACGCAAGTGAAACACATGCGAAACACATTTAACCCTTTGACACGTGCAAGTTTTAAACACTCTTGCTGTCCCTTTCTGTTTGCTTTTTAATGTGACCATTGTTTAGAATACATCGCTTCAAAGTTTTTTATAGTGACATGTCAAGTTTATGACGTGAAACCAGAGCCTCAGTGATTTAGAGCTGCTGGATTTACAACATGTTAATTTATTAACTTCTCCTGAAATACATAAAAGTACAACACAAGCTCATTCTGAAAATGTGGCCCTATATACATTTCTGGAGAACGCGAATTATGTATCCAGAAGTACGCATAGCTGTATTTTGTTTTCAAAACAAACGATACAGGGCTGGATGATGCCTTTCCTTTTCGTGCTCACCAGCTGACCGTTTATTAATATGACAACAGGGTTCGAGTCTGGCGAAGAACAGTTCCAGAAAGAAGGTAGGACAAACACAAAAAGCAAAAAATAAAATCAACAAGTAAATAATAGGGTGAGGATGTCGTAAAATCTAAAAACGTGGTAAAAATCAGACGAAGGCTTTTCTTTTTCTGGATAAAAAGGGCAAGCTGAGGGGGTGTAAGGGCAAGCTGAGGGGGTGTTTTTTAGCCTAACTGTCCAAATGTATCTTTCTTCGTTTCTAAATGCTACCTCCTAAGATCTGTCTCCCCTGAAAAGTTGTTTGTGATGTTTTGTCTATGGTCTGGGGGGTCCAATTTCGCTATACGAAAGTGTAGTGACAAATAAAGGCTTGATTGATTGATTGATTGATTGATTGATAACACTGTCAGTTATGTTTAGGGAAGTGGGTCGGGTCAATCGGTGCTTTCGAAAACAATATTGGTTGGGTTTAAGGAAGGAGGAGGGCAGGTCAGTCAATCAGTCAGTCATTCCGTCAGTCGACGGCTGCCTCTGGTGGAGAACAGTAAGAACAGTTGGCGCTTATGGCACTCTCAAGAGAAGTTTGAGATCTCAAAAATCGTGCACAGTGGCCTCTGGTGGATTCACAAAAACAAAAACTGCAAAAAACGTAGCACCTGGGACGTATTTGGCGCTCTTCAGAAATGTATATAGGGGTACATTTTCAGAATGAGCCTGGTTTGTGAAAGTATATAGCTGTTTTACTGCGAGAAGTAAATGTTCTAGTAACCTTTAAGCCTGGTTTATACTTCTGCGTCAAGTGACCGGCGTAACCCACGGCGCAGGCAACGCCCGTAACGGTGCATTTATACTTCTGCGCGCTGTCTCTGTTGGTCTGCATTAACACTTCCGAAACGCTAGTTGGCAGTGAGGTGTTAATGTTCCTCTGTGTCGAGTTTCTTCTCTGCTGTTTTGCTTTTCCTGAACACTTCCTGGATGTACAAGTGGCTCAAACTCGCTCATTTTGAGGCAGAAACCGGCGGACGTGCAACAACTTTAACTATGAGGTAAACACAAAACAAAACTTTCCATCCGAAGCTCCTTCACGGGACTCCACACTTGTAAACAATCGCTCCATTGGGCTCACGCAATTTGCGTGGCTCTCAGTCCCGCCCAGACTCGTCAGCGCTACCAAGCCGACCAATCACAGAGCTTGCGCTACGCGTTGTTGCGACGTGTAGTTACATTTTTTGAGAGGTGCACATCAGTGACGCCAACGGCCACGGCGAAGGGCTATGCGTCAACGCCGTAGCATATGCCGGCGTTTGACGCAGAAGTTTAAATCAGCCTTAACAGTGTGTATCTGATGTAAATATCACACATTGTCCGATTATGTTTAAGATTATTATTGCGGTTGTCTCCATGGACATCAAGAAGTATTTTAGAAACTATTTTCATTTTTGCTAGTACTTAAACGTAAATGTCTGGATCCTAAAACAAATGTGTTTTTTGTTTGTTTTAATAAACAGATTTATGACAAGTGCCAGTTATTACGGGAAAGCAGATTTGAATTTAGCAGCTGATCACGTGATGCATTAAATGTTACAATCACACCACTGTGATTGAAAATGGATTAAATTCATTGATCTCAACATTTTACACACAACCCCCCATAATGACAAAGTAAAAAAAGAGTTTTTAAAATTGTTGCAAATTTATTAACAAATAACAGACATGCCAAATCACATGTACATCAGTATTCACAGTGTTTGCTCAATACTTTGTTGATGCACCTTTGGCAGCGATTACAGCCTCAAGTCTTCTTAAATATGATGCCACAAGCTCGGCTCACCTGTCTTTGGGGATTTTTGCCCATTCCTCTTTGCAGTACCTCTCAAGCTCTATCAGGTTGGATGAGAAGCGACGGTGTACGTTCATTTTCAGATCTCTCCTGAGATGTTCAATAGGATTTAGGTCTGGGCTCTGGCTGGGCCACTCAAGGACATTCACTGAGTTGTTGTGAAGCCGCTCCATTGATATTTTGGTGGTGTGCTTTGGGTCATTGTCCTGCTGGAAGATGAACCGTCGCCCCAGTCTGAGGTCAAGAGTTCTCTGAAGCAGGTTTTCATTCAGGATGTCTCTGTACATTGCTGCATTCATCTTTCCCTCTATCCTGACTGGTCTTCCAGTTCCTGCTGCTGAAAAACATCCCCACAGCATGATGCCAACTCCACCATGCTTCACTGTAGGAATGGTGTTAGCCTGGTGATGAGCGCTGCCTGGTTTCCTCCAAACTTGACGCCTGGCATTCACTCCAAAGAGTTCAATTTTAGTCTCATCAGACCAGAGAGTTTAGTTTCTTATGGTCTGAGAGTCCTTCAGATGCCTTTTGGCAAATTCAAGGCGGGGAGTGTCTTCCGTCTGGCCGCTCTACCATACAGGCCTGATTGGTGGATTGCTGCACAGATCGTTGTCCTTCTGCAAGGTTCTCCTCTCTCCACAGAAGAACGCTGGAGCTCAGACAGAGAGACCATCGGGTTATTGATCACCTCTCTAAGGCCCTTCTCCCCCGATCACTCAGCTTAGATGGCCGGCCAGCTCTAGGAAGAGTCCTGGTGGTTCAAAACATCTTCCACTTACGGATGATGGAGGCCACTGTGCTTATTGGAACTTTCAGAGCAGCAGAAATGTTTCTGTAACCTTCCCCAGCCTTGTGCCTCAAGACAATCCCATCTCAGAGGTCTACAGACAATTCCTTTGTCTTCATGCTTGGTTTGTGCTTTGACATGCACTGTCAATCCTGGGCCCTTATATTGACAGGTGTACACCTTTTCAAATCATGTCCAATCAGCTGAATTGAGCACAGGTGAACTCCAGTGAAGCTGCTGAAACATCTCAAGAATGATCAGTGGAAACAGAATGTACCTGAGCTCAGTTTAGAGCTTCACGTCAAAGACTGTGAATACTGATGTAAATGTGATTTCTCAGATTTTTTATTTTTAATAAATTTGCTACAATTTAAAATAACTTTTTTTCTCATTGTCATTATGGCCCATTGTGTGTAGAATTTTAAGGAAATAACCGAATTTGATCCATTTTGGAATAAGGCTGTAACAAAAAAAAAGTGAAAAACGTGAAGCGCTATGAAGACTTTCCGGATGCGCTGTATATGTCAAAGGGTTAATAAGATTTTTGAACATAATTCCAAAACTGTATTCCACTCGTTCCATTCGTGTTCCATGTGTGATTCGAGCATGTGAAGTAGTACCTCAGTTCTTGAAATGAAAACGCAGGCCTCTACCAAGACTTGATGCTATTTTAGTAACACATTCAGGGTCTAACACGTCAAAGCCATGCTATCGATGCAGGAGGTTGTGAATAAGAACCAGAAAGTATTTCGGCTGTTTTTTTTTTTTTCACTGAGTGTCCTACAACGACAGTTCTGTGTATTATGTAAATCATTACTTGTTTATGA